TTCAGAAACGCTTAGTCAAGTAGTTAATAAACATATATTAAGTGCCTGCTGTGTGTCAGGCACTGTGCTAAGCATTTAATAAATGGGATCCAATCAATAAAGAGAAACTTGAACTTGGAGTTATACTCGATTATGGATTTAGAACTAGTCCAAAATTTTCATTTTATAAAAGAGAAAACTGTGTCCCAAAGAGATGACTTTGCCAAAGGCACAAAAGTAATAAATAACATGGGATTCAAAGGCTGGCCTTGGAACTCTAAATCTAGACTGTTCCCACCCACCACACCACGCTGCCCTTCTGCTGGTCCTGGTGAAGAAGGGGGAAGAAGGAAGGAGAAGGCCAGATTAGTGATCTTCTTGACTTTCAGTCAAAGTGAAGGACTTTATCACTGTTAATAGTGCCTCAGAGAGAATTCATGTTAGGCTTAACTCTTCTCCCCAGCCTTGGTCACACAGAGATTTTCCAGTTTCACCACCTCCTTCTCAACATCCTATTGTCATTTTATTAAGTATCTGCCATGTGCTTCTAGGCCCTGTCTTAATAATCCTTGTCTGGATAATAGTGACACTGTTTTTGTTTATTTTGTTTATTTTAACTGTTTCAGTGTCTTGTGTACTTTAGTATCACAGTTAATGTATATGAGGGTGTAGGAGACTTTTGTCTTCCTAGGGGGTAAGAGTCAAACCATTTAGACTGGAATAAAATGTTGAGTAGGCGGCTAGGTGGCTTAGAGCACTGGGCTTGAAATCAGGAAGATTCATCTTCCTGAGTTCAAACCTAGCCTCAGGCACTTCCTAGCTGTGTAACCCTGGGCAAGTCACTTAACCTTGTTTGCCTCAGTTTCCTCATCTGTAAAATGAGCTAGAGCTGGAGTGACAAACCACTTCACTCTCTTTGCCAAGAAAACCCCAAAAGGGGTCACAGTCAGGCATGACTAAAATGACTCAACAAAATATTGAGCATAAGGAAGACACAACCCTGATGTTGTTATACCTAGGTATCTAAGGCTTCCTTAACTCTGTGATTTTGAATTTTGTGCTCTTTAACTCAATGTTTAACTCAGATACCCTATGAATATTCAGTAATCATGGAGACATTACTTTCCTGGCATGAAAATCTTTGTCCTAAAATAAATGAGACATCCAGGTAGAATCAGTTGTCCAAAGTTCAATGCTCTTGGATACCTGAAGATGTTTTGAAGAACTATCATTTAAATGATGGAAAGGTTGGGATATGAGGGGAGGTTTCATGAATAGGTCTTCTGTAATCTTAAGAAGAGATAGCTAAAATATAAGAAGAGCTGTGTTACAAGGGGCCTAGTTTCCATCTCTATTGAAGAAAACTGTACAAGAAGAGAGAGTCTCTAAATATAATATAGTAACTGTGCTACAGTTAAAAAATAAATAGCGGCAGAGGGTGAAAGCCATAGTCTCTCTGCTTGATCTGAGTCTTATGGAGTTTCTGTACCCTTGGTGGGTCCTCAGTTTTGTGGGAGCAGCTAAGTGGCTCAGTGGATAGCATGATGGCCCTGGAGTCAGGAAAACCTGAGTTCAAATCCAGCCTCAGAAACTTGCTAGCTGCATGACTTTGGGCAAGTCACTTAACCTCTATTTGCCTTAATCTAGTAGAGAAAGAAATGGCAAAACACTCCAGTATCTTTGCCAAGAAAACCACATGGAAAGTATTGGCATGCCATGGTCTACAGGGTCAGGAAGAGTCAGATACACCTGAATGACTGAACAACAGCAGCAGCTTTTCTGAACAGGGTTCAGAAATTGTTTTATTAGTTCACTCAGGGATAATCAGGTGTTGGAGAGCCAATTCCCATTAATGAACAAACTCCAAAGAGACTGGTTTATAAACCAGAATGTCTACTTTATAATTAGCTGATAATGCATGATATACCTGACAAGATAACTAGTCCTGGTCATTTTTTACATAGTGAGCTCTCTGTGTGGGTAGATCCATTTAGCTAAGCAAATTAGGGATTGGAAAACTGCTTATTGATCATAGAATTAGTGCAAATGGACTTAGAAGTACCTAGGGAATATTTCCATCAACCAAAACTATCATGATGAATTTTTCTTTTCCATTTTAGGATTTTTTTTTCCTATACAACTGGTACTGGGCATTGAAATGAACACACCTTGTCTCTGGGTGCACAGTGACATAGGCAAATTCTGACCCTGTGCCTCTGTGTTCTAGACTGTAGAATCCTTCTATCCTTCTATCATGATAATAGTAGCTTATAATCATAATTGTGAGGATTTCAGCTTATCATGTACTCATTACTTACGTACTAGTGTGCTTGGTGATATTTGGAACATGCCATGTCTCAACATATTTCTTTGGGGTAGCTTGGTGGTGCAGTAGATAGAGCACTGAGCCTATAGTCAGGAAGACCTGAGTTCAAATGTAGCCTCAGACACTTAACTTGCTGTGTGGCCCCAGGCAAGTCACTTAAACCCTATTTGCCTTAGTTCTTCATCTGTAAAATGGGGACATGCTGGAGAAGGAAATGGCAAACCACCCCAAGATTTTTGCCAAGAAAACCCCATGGATGAAAATCACGTAGAAACCTGACAGAACAATAGCACCGTTTCAACAAGAACCTGTTTACAGACCATCTCGTAGAGTGTGTTACTCCTACAAGTGGTCAGTCATACAGCTTTGAGAATGTTTCTGAAATTGATTCCATGTAGGATGTTGATAGTTTTGGGGGCTTTCTCCCTGAATTCTCTAGGTACACCATATTTTAGGCCTTCATTGACGAGAAAATTTAGGTTGAATAGGAAATAGAACTTTCTGATTCAAAAAAAAAACTTTGCAAATAGACCCTGGAACTTTCTACTGGGATGTAAAATAAACATTTTTAAACAGACACTAGTTTAACTTGAATTTCTGTTGCAAATAAAGGCAGAAGGATGGACCAGATGTGTCTCCACACAATAAACGCAAACACATGTAACAGATGTGCACGCTTTACATCTAATTCTAGGCATTCTTTCTTGTGGAGCAGGAGTATTTTTATGTGAAGTGACTTCCTGGTGCCTTTCTCTTTGATTTCCATTGATGCAGGACTCTTATGAAAAATTTGAACTCACATGAAGGAAAACATAGAATTAAATATCTCCTTTTGAGCTTGAAATAGTTTATAGTATTTTTCCTTCCATTTGTGGTCTATGAAAAGAAGCCATTAAACTTCACTTGCCTAATACAAAACTTGATCATTCTGGGCTCCTTTTCTCAGAAGTTGGAATGGCATGAATGGGAGCCGTTTGGGATGATGTCAACAGTGAAAACAAACAAATGACTGGCCCAATCCATTTTTCTACTCACCAACAGGCTTTCAACCAAGTTAATTCTGGTAACAGCATCAATTAGAAAGCTTTGGTCTATGTTTGGGTATTCATAGGGGAGGGAGGGAGGGAGCCAGAGAGAGAGACAAATAGACAGACAGAGAAGGAGAGGGAGAGAAAGAGAGAGAGAGAGAGAGAAAGAGAGAAAGAGAGAGAGAGAGAGAGAGAGAGAGAGAGAGAGAGAGAGAGAGAGAGAAGAGAGAGGTTTTAAGAACTGACAGATGACTCTTAATAATTCTTACAAAGTGAAAGTAAAATGCATTTCAGGCAGACGGTCCTAAGTCCAAGTGCAGAAGGGAACAGAATGTGAAAAGGAAATGATTGCCTGACTATGTGATCAAGGAGGAAAAAAAATCTTTAATTAAAAATACCTCTGCTCAAACAGGGTAATATGAACTCTTTAAGCCTAGGGTTGTTGTGAGGACCAGATGAGAGTAATATTTGTAAAGAACTTGGCACAATGCCTGGTACACAATATATAGATGCTTGTTCCATCCAGCCATTCTCCATAAGGCTCTTCAAGTAATCATGATATTTCAGATGTGCTCCTCCTCAATGGAGCGCATGTTCAGGTCTCATTACTGGCATAGAAAAGTCAAATACTCTCTTATGTTGAAGTTCTGGGGATGACAAGTCAAAGTCCATTACAATAAAAATTTCTGAATTAAAAAAAAAATTCCCAAGATTCAGTTGATAACCCCCCCAGACCCTTTTTTTTTCAGGCAATATTCAAGACAAAGAAGATTCCGGAGCCACAAAAGAATAAAGATTGTGCCCTCAGAATTTGGTGGAAATTAATGCTCTACCTTTGGTTCTCTGCTCTGCTGCTTAGTATCTAGATTACTTTGGGCAAGTTTGTTAACTTCCCTGGGCCTCAGTTTCTCCATATACAATAGGCAGCTAGGTGGTACAGTGGATAGAGCACCAGACATAGGGTCACATACAACCTGAGTTTAGATCTGACTCATACACTTACTAGCTGTGTGACCCTGGGCAAATCACTTAATTTCTGCCTCAGTTTCCTCAACTATAAAATGGGGATGATAATAATACTAGCATATACTTCCTAGGGTTGTGAAGATAAAATAAAATAATATTTTTAAAGTACTTTATAAACCTTAAGCTGCTATACAAATGCTAGCTATTTGTTATTATCTGTAAGCTTAGGAAATTGGACTGTATCATCTCTAAGGCTCTTGCTGCTATAAAATCATTAAAGTACAAAAGTTAATTTATCTATTTGTGAACTCCATCTGCATTTACATTTATAAATTCCATTCTTGCCCTACTTGGGACTCTTTAAATTTCTAGATTAAAAGAACACAAAGGTGTCCTGCACAAAATCTGTTGCACTCTCTATGTCAGCTCCAAAGAACAAAAAAAGAAGAAACAGGAGGTGTATGTAGTACGTGTCTGTCCAGTGTTCTTCCAGTACAACCTGACACTTTTGAGTGCCTGGCACAGGACCCCACCTTCAGTGTCACCAGAATCCTGAATCCACACTGTGGAGGCTTTCTGAGGAATCTCCAAAGAAACCAGCTTGGGGAAAAAGCATGCACTTCCCTGAAGTCAGTGTCAGTCCCAAAGATAGGCATTGGAGTTGGTTGCCACAGACTCCTTAACTGACTCTTTTTTTCCAGGCAGGGATGGCCACCCCAGAAAACCCAGAACAGCTGATAATTGCCCTGGAGCCGGAAGCAGCCTCCATCTACTGCAGGAAACTTCGCCTCCACCAGATGATTGACCTGAGCAGCAAAGCAGCTGTTAATGGTTACACCTCCAGTGACACTGTAGGAGCTGGGTTTGCACAGGGTACCTCTCTCTCTGTCTCTTCCTCTCCCTCTCTCTCTCTCTCCTCTGGTGCTCTCTCCCTTTCTCTCTCTGACTTTCTCTGCCTTTGTTTATTTTTACTTGTTAATCCATCAAGGGCCCCTTGAAACCAAGATATGGCATTAGAATAAGGAACAATTTCCCAAGAGGTCAACTTGGATCTCCTTTGATCCTTTTTTTTTCTCCCCCACTCAGACCCTTGGAGGGACCAAATGAGCCAAGAAAAGGCTCATTTTCAGCGTCTTTCAAAATGATTCTTATGAGAACAGACAAATGGGAAGGAATGTTCCCTGGACACTACTTCAGAGTGCCATGAGAGTTCTTAGCTGTATATTACACTTGACTATTAATCCTGTCTATTAACTGATTCATAATCTAATATAACTTGCCTGTTTTAAATTCATCTGTTAGGACTATTTACTTACATCCGACTCACTCACTAGAACTATTTCATGTATTATTAGCCTATTACGTTCATTATTGGAAAATATAGTTAAAGTGGGAGGAAAAACCCAACCCAACAAGTTTTCTTTCCATTTTTTTTTCAGTAGGATAGAAAGGTGTACAGTTAGGGGAAATGTAGAACTGTGTTTGAGATGAACCATTTCTTGTTAATAGTTCCCTGCATTCATGTCAATCAGAAGCTTGTTTTGTGTCCCTAAAGCCTCTTTCCCCTTCATCAAGGATTCTTGGGGGCTACAGAGCTTGATGAGGTTTCCTTCTTCTTTGGTCTTTTTCCCAAGAGTAGTCAGTGTAGATAGGAGAATTATTTTAAAGAGTTTCAGGGGAATGAATGACTTTGTCTACACAAAGTTAAATTTTCAAATGAAAACATAGAGTGAGTGAGGAAATGCACTGAGCCCATCTCAGAAGTCCCCCTTATGTACTGGAGAGAATTAAGTCTGTGCTAAAGGCTACAATTCCATCCCAGGCTGCATTCAGAAAGGCCAGAGTTCTGAAGAAAGGAGAGAAGTTAGAGCTGATTATTTGTGAATAGTTTCCACACACAACCTCTGGGCCTTACTTCCTTGGCTGACCATGCCTCACTGAGTCTCCCTAAGGACTTTGGATTTTGTTTCAAGCAAAAAAAAAAAAATTCTGGTGGAGAATTAAGTGGCAGCCTTTCTTTGCACCTGCTTGCCTTTGGCTGAGCTAGCCAAAAGCAGTCTCTTCTAGAGTATTCCTATTCTTTTTCAGAGAGGTAGCTGAGTCTATCCTACCTCCATCTTCATTTTCTATCAGACATCTAACATTATGAAAAAAATGTCACAACTCATACAAGGATATTTATTTTTTAAATCTCGATAACAATTTTTTCCATCGCAAACATCACGTTTTGACTGTACGATACAGACTTTTAACAACACACATATAAGCGTCTTGAGATATATGTAATTTTGAAACATAATTTAGCCAGAATTCATCAAGAAAAGTATCTGAATAGGTGAGAGATCTTGGTTTAGAGTTTAGTAATGAAAGGACAGGGTACCCCCAAATGATAAGAAGCATGCCAGAAGCCTCTTTCTTTAAATATGAAGAGAAATGAATGCTTTTTTAGGCAAACTGTACTGAATTGTCAAAATAATATGCATGAACAGCCTAGATATTCCCTGATACCACATTAAAATTTTTTTTAAAGAAAAACGCTAAAAAAAATAAAAGAAATAACACTGATGATTTATTAGATAGTCATTTTAGCAAGTTCTTCTCCAGCATAAATTCATTTTGTCTCAAAGTAATTTTGATACAGTGTTTCTGAAAATAAATCCACAAAGTAGCAGAAAATGTATGCTTTGAAAGCTCTATTTTCTGTTTATTTTTCACTATCATTTTGTACTCATTGTGTTCTGTTCCTATGCCTAGTGGTATGTTAAATTTTGGAATAACCACATTTATTCAAAGAGTCTTTTCATGTATATCATCTTCAGACAGGAGGCCTTCATGGCCCAGTAAGTGACATCTAAGAGTTTTAAGAGGCATTTTTTATTTTCACAGAGTAATATTTTCCATAGCAGTCATATTGCCTTATTTCACACCAGCACTTTAGTGAATACATGTAAAAGAGATTAAGATGACCTGAAACTCAAGGATCCACTTGTGTATGTTGCTGTTTACAATGATCCTGTTAAAACCAAGTTTATTTGAATCTCAATTTCCTCATTTGTAAAATGAATCAGTTGGGCTTTATGACCTTTCATACTCTTTCAGGTCCTTTTCAGCTCTAAATCTGGGATTCTATAAATACAAATAAGCCTTAGATATTGCAGTAGATAGCACAGTGGATAGAGTGCAGGGCCTGGAGTCAGGAAGATTCATCTTCCTAAGTTCAAATCTGACTTCAGACACTAGCTGTATGACCCTGGGCAAGTCACTTTGCCCTGTTTACCTCTGTTTCCTCATCTGTAAAATGCGCTGGAACAGGAAATGGCAAATCACCCCAGTATCTTTGCCAAGAAAACTCCAAATGGGGTCACGAAGAGTCAGACACAACTGAAAATGACAGAATGAAGACAATTACAGTAGATATCTTTCTAATTATACTAGTTTTATTCAAACTTAAATGCAAAGGTAAGCTTGATCCAAGGTAGTGTGGTATAGAAAAAGAGCACTGGATGGGTAATCAGGAGGCCTGGGTCCTATTCTTGGCCCTGTCACTAACCAACTGTATGGCTATTGACAAATCACAAACTCTATATCTAGTTCCATCTATATGGTGGGGAACATAATATTTACTCTTACCTGCATTACAAGAGGTAATAGTAGAGAAGGAAGTACTTCTATGAAAATGTAAGGAGTTATCATAGTTCATAACCCAATAGCTGAACTAATATTGAGCTTTGAACCTTTCCCTTGAATTTTCGTTGAAAATCAAAACCTGTGTGGTGAGGTATCAAATGTGCCATCTAGTGGTTAAAGGGAGTATACATTGGCTTCGTCAGTTTGGGGAACATGGCCAGGAGACAATGTGGCACTTTATTTCATTCCAGAGCTAGACTTGGAAAACCCATCCCTTATTACTTCCACCAGACATAACCCCTTGAGGTGAAGTTACCTAACTGAGGGCACAGCAGGGCTGGTTCACAGACAGTGTTATCCTGGATTTACTCAGTACAACAATGCCAGGAAAATAGCCATTTTTCAATGTCTCAAAAAAACCCAACCAAACATGCAGAAGGGAATTTCCATAAACCCTTTAACAAGGATGAAGGCTTTAATTACAAGCTAGATGAATGGCATAAGACTGAAGGGAATAATGATTTTATCTAAAAGGAACTGGTTTTGTAATTCTCTTGTATTTATTTAGCAATTTTGATTAAACATTTACTCAAAATACTGCATCTCTAAACTTTCTTGTATGACTAGTCTGTACTTAGTATAGAGAACTCTATTAGCTTTTTCATGCCTTCTCATACTTGGTTATTTTCTTTTTATTGACAACTAGCTAAGGAACACATACGTCGTAATCGGCAGAGTCGGACCTTTTTGGTGGAAAATGTCATAGGAGAGATCTGGTCTGAATTGGAGGAAGGTAGAGTTCTTGAATGTCCTTTACTTTTACTGGTTTGCTACTCCTGGCAAAAATGCATTCCCATGACTTTGTTTTGCTTTTATAGAAAAAAAATCAAAATAAATTGAGATTATAGACTGCCCTTTTTGGGGAGGTGAGGGAGGAGGGTAAGAAAACAAAACAATCTAAGATATTAATGGGAAATTGTAACAGACCTGAATTTCTTCAGGTAGGATCCAGAGTACCATAGTCTCAGGACAGGGCTTTCATGTCATCAAGCACTAAACATTTCAGCAGCATTAACATAGCAACAAATTTCCTCAATATGTATGGAAGTTGCATACACTGCTTAATAATAATGCTGCATTCTTACCATTATTTCTTATTCTTTTATTTCCATGTTTCAACCCCTAACGTCTGGTAGATGTTGTTGAAAACACTTTAATCATGAATAATCCAAGTGTGAGCTGCTAAATATGCAACATCTTGTCGCTAATTGTGAATGTTCATGGATTTCTTGGGATACCCATGTGAAAAATGGCCATTTCTTTTTTGTAACAGGTGACAGGTATGTGGTTGTGGACAGTGGAGGAGGCACAGTGGACCTCACTGTCCATCAGATCAGATTACCTGAGGGACACCTTAAAGAATTGTACAAGTCAACAGGTAAGAGACCACTCCATAGCAAATGATCTAAACTCCATTTACAGCTTTAACTCTCCTGAGATTGGAATGTTATCTAGCATTTTAAATAAGCTTAATTTCAGATGTGTCATTAATAGGAGATTCATATTTATTTTGAGTGCCAACATGTGGGATTGGGCTCATTGCCAGAAGGGATTACTAATGCTCATTTAGAAGCTTACTAGCTACATGAACTGGAGCTAGACCCTTCTCATCTCTGGGCTTCAGTCCTATCACTTATGAATGGTGAGATTAGACAAGATCATCTCTTAGGTTTCACTTAGCTCTCTTGCTATAAAGTCTGTTATTCTAAAGATATTGCTAGAGTAAAATATGCAATGGATCTTCTCTGTAACTTGGAATCTGGTTTTCTCAGGGGCCATTTTGGACTATTTCAAATACTGCAGCACTGTCATTGTAATGCTTTCTTCTATAATATAATCATCTCTCAGCATGTATGCCAACCAAAGTCCAAATTCTAGGATGCAGTGGTATAGGATCATAGGATTATAGAACGGGAAGGATCCTAGCTGGTAAATTACCTGCCTAAGGTGAATTAGCATCCTCACTATGCTTAAACATTACTAGTTAATGTGGGGCCTATTCTATAATCTGCCTTTATGTGGAGAACAATTCTTAGTAATTTGTAGATTTAAATATTGTTCTAGGTTTAACTGAAGTCTTGTGTTTTTTCCAGATGTTTATTTTTTTTTCCTGAGGAGAAAGTGTCATTGAAATTACATGGCCTTTCATAACTGATTGCCTTTAGCGAGTTAAGATGTCATTGATTTGATATATAAGTCATTGCATCATGGATCTGTAATTTAAGTAGATCACTGAAATTAATGAGAGTTATTTTGAGGAAAAATAATTCCCTTGAAAAAGGAGTTTTTAACTCGTGTGTGTGTTGTGTGTGTGTGTGTGAGAGAGAGAGAGAGAGAGAGAGAGAGAGAGAGAGAGAGAGAGAGAGCGAGAGAGAGAGAGAGAGACTGAGAGTGAGAGAGAAACCTCATTGGGCAGGCTGGTGAAGCCTGTGGAGCCATTTTCAGAATAATGTTTTTAAATGCAGAAAATAAAATATGTAGTTTCACAAAGGAAACCAATTATATTGAAATATACTCATCAAAATATATTTGTTTAAAGTTCACAGACCCTGGAACACTTTCTCTGCATTGAATGAGAACATTAAAAATCTGTCCCTGGTTTTTAAAAATCATAGTCTCAATTTTAGAGTTGAAAGAGGCCTCAGAGACCACATTAGGAGCTAAGGGATGGTGTTATAACTTGCTTATTAAAGGGACTTCCAGCTTTGTTTGTTTAAAAAATGAACCAAAGATAGAATTGCTTACCTATCCAAAGTCCTAGTGATCACAATTTTCTAGAGCAACATCTTCATAGTCATATCTCTGATTGAGAAGTACTGAGCCCTTTTGGCTCACTGTGTTTATTTTTGCTAACTAATATCTGCATGGGCATTTTTTTTTCCACTTAGGTGGAGCATATGGTTCCTTGGGAGTGGATTATGAATTTGAAAAACTTCTTTGTAAAATATTTGGAGAAGATTTTATTGAACAATTTAAAATTAAACGTCCAGCAGCCTGGGTAGATTTAATGATTGCTTTTGAGTCCCGCAAACGGGCTGCTGCCCCTGACAGAACCAATCCTTTAAATATCAATCTGCCTTTCTCCTTTATTGACTACTATAAGAAGTTTCGAGGTCACAGTGTGGAACATGCCTTGAGAAAAAGCAAGTGAGTAAATAAATCCTTTCTAGAGAGATGAGTAAGTTCTTTACTGAATGACTAGTCAGAATTAGACAGGAGAGTGAGGTGGGGAATATTCTATCACAGACTCAGAAGAATCATGATGGGAATAGAGATAAGCTGCTTGCTTTGAATAAGTAATGCAAGGAATGGGAAAAGCAAGGAAGTAATGGAAAATGATGCTCAGATGTTACCTCCTATCACCAACTTGGCCACATTTTTCCTCTAAGTTGAACTATGTCCTTGCTGGACCAAGGCTTCTCCAAGGGCAAGAAACCATTGTTTCTGGAAGAAAATTCAGGCAGCTTTCCCCCAACAACCTGCTAGACTTTTGTGAGATCTTCTATTTCCTAGAGATTTCTGAGTATGTTTATAATAATAGGTTGAGGGGTAGGGGAGAAGGGATCCATTGGTGCAGAGTGAACTTATTTGATTTTTAAAAACCCAACTGAAAAGAAACAAGCAGGCCTGATTTCATTCTATTGTTTTTAGACTTGCTTTATGATTTATAAATTTGTTAGCCCCTAAGGGCAGAATCAGAAACAGTGAGTGGAAGTTGCAAAAAGACCTACTAGGCTTGATGTCAGGGAAAATGTCCTAACAGTTAGAGCTGTCTAAAAACAGGAGGAGCTACATTAAGAAGTGGTATGTCCCCCCCCCCCCCGAAAGCCTTCAAGCAGAGGCTGTATTACCATTATGTCTGGCATATGTTTGGGTGAGGATTTCTTTCATGTATGAGTTGACCTAAATAGCCACTGAAGGCCCTTCCATCTCTCAAGCCTGTGATTCTTCAAGGCTCTCACTTGCTGGTCCCATGGTAGATGGACTGCCCACCTCACAGGGTAGTTATAGTTGGTAGGGACATGTTTTATAATCCTTAGACAGTTATATAAATAAAAGGTGTTATCCTTAGGTAGTCTGTTCACTACCTCTATGCAGGATGGTGCTAAATACATTCCCTACTGATTAGTACATGTCCTGTGTTTGATTCTGTTTCTGACCAGCTATGTCTAAGAAACCTTTATTTTCTTCTCCCAAAGTAATTGACGATGACCTATGGTGGTTTTCTGTGTGGAACTCCCAATTACAAGTTTAGTTAAGAAGAGCAAAGAGTAAAGACAGTGTTGGGAGGCCTGGGAATATTCCTAATGTCCTGAGACTCAGGAACAGATTAGCAAGGACACTTTGCTTGAGTGTGGCAAGGAACTCAATGTAATTGACTCATTTGAACTTTGAGACAAGTATGGCTCCTAGTTTGGTCTTGTACCTTGATTACTACCTTGATTAAGAAGGAAATGAAAGAAAATATTTTCATAAATTGAGTTAGTCATTAATAAAAGGATCTTTTGGATGATATGTTTATGTGTGTGTGTGTGTGTATATACACACACACACACATATACATATATACACACACGTATGTGTATATCTTGTTTATCTCACAGAGTTGTAAAGCTCAAGATAATATGCACAAAATGTTATAGGAATGTAAATTATTGTATGTTGTATACACATTTATGATTTCCTTCTTGTTCTGCATGATGTTGCTACAGTGTTGACTTTGTGAAATGGTCATCCCAGGGAATGCTAAGGATGAGCCCAGATGCAATGAATGCCCTTTTTAAGCCAACAATTGACAATATCATCGATCATCTCCGTAAGTAACAAATAGTAGGGACTCAGTTATTCAATGCAATTGGAAGTAGACTGATCTTTGCCCTGTTCAGTAAAACCAACCAGCCCAGTTAGAGATAAGCACCACATAGGATCTTTGGAAGATTCATAGCATAGTGTGAGGCAGAATGTTGCAGTGGATAGAATGCTAAACTCAAGCTGTGGAAGACCTGAGTTCACATTCAGAGCCTTATTAGCATCTGGATAAGAAAAGGCTTCCTAGGGGCAGCTAGGTGGTGCAGTGAATAGAGAACCAGCCCTGAAGTTAGGAGGACCTGAGTTCAAATCCGACCTCAGATGAAACACTTGACACTTAGTAGCTGTGTGACCCTGGGCAAGTCACTTAACCCCAGTTGCCACAAAAAAAAAAAAGAAGAAGAAGAAGAAAAGGCTTTCTATGGGGGGGGTGCCACTTGAGCTGGAATTTAAAGGAGGTAGAAATGAGGAAAGAGTACGGTTTTTATATGTGGGGACAGCCTATGCAAAGACAAAGAAGGGATGGAATAGCTCATGTGAGAAACAGCAAAAAAACAGTTTGGCTGGACTGTAGGACGGGTGAGGGAGAACAGCATCTAATACATTTGGAAATCTTTGTTCAAATCCTACATCAGAAACTTACTGACTGTGTGATCATAGGCAAGTCATTAAATCTCTCAGTTTCCTCATCTGTAATTTTTACTATCTATTTCCTAAGTTTAAGTTAAAAAAAAAGTGGCAATCTTTAAAGTACCAGGAAAATGAGTTATTATAATCCTTATAATATAGTTCTTATAATTCACTAGAAAGAGAAGTCTTGATAAAGAGAGAAAACAGGCATTCCTTTTACCCTTCTAGGCCCCGTTTCTTCCATGCTGTCAGTGAGCTGTCCTCTCAGACCACAATATTGAGTGCACCTCTCCTGGAAAGTTAATCATCTTTTAACTCAAATTGTATTTGTGTACATATCTCTTTCTTCTACTAGATTGTAAAGTCCTTGAGGGCACAGATGGTTTCATTCCCCTCCTCTTGTGTCCTCAGTGCCTGGCTGTCCATAAGGACTAGACTTGCAATTTTCTTGGTATGGGGGGAGGGAAGAAGGGAACAAGCATTTATTAAGCACCTACTGTGTACCACTGTACTGTACCAACAGCTTTACAAATATTATCTCATTTGATTTTCCCAACAACCTTGGGAGGTAGATGCTATTATTATCCCCATTTTACAGATAAGGAAAATGAGGTGAACAGGGATTAAGCAATTTGCCCAGGCTACAGCCCCATAGTTACTACCTGGGGCTCGATTTGAAGTCAGGTCTTTGTAACTCAAGGCCTGGCCCTCTATGCACTTTGCCACCCCAGGTAAAGACTGGGGAGATCCTTGAAAGCTAACAGAGGAGTTTGAACTTTATACAACAGGCAATAAGATGTTTGACTACATTTCTTTTTTTTTTAATTTGTTCTATTCCCAACTGTAATAAACGCTTTTTAAAAAAGAGCTTTTCCATGTACAAAGGAGAACAGATTATATGTGAAACTGAAGAGCGCTATTATGCGTAGTCATCTTTTTAAAAATTGTATAATTCCATTGCTTTTTTCTAAACATATTACTTTCAAAGTTGTCTGGCTTGTCTGTGTTTCCTTCTCTACTTCTGTTCTCCCTGCCTTCCTTTAAGTCTCAACTAAATTCTCACCTTCTGCAGGAAGCTTTCCCCCACCCTTCTTAATTCTAGTGCCTTCCCTCTGATAATTATTTTTTATTTATCCTGTAGATAGCTTGTTTTGTACATATTTGTTTGCACATTGTTTCCCCTATTAGATTGTAAGCTCCGTGAAGGCATGGACTATCTTTTGCCTTTTTGTATCTCTAAGTGCTTGGGCACAGTGACTTTCACATAGTAGGCACTTATTCAATGTTTATTGATTGACTGAATTTTCAAAAACACTTCAATGGCCTGTTTCTTTTTTTCTTTTCTTTTTTGCAAAACTATCACTAGTGCCCTCTTCCCCCAAAATGAAAAACACAGTCCTTGTTAACAAATATACATAGTGAAACAAAAGAAATCTGCACATTTGTCGTCTTCAAAAATGTATGGCTCATTCTTCCCCTTGAATTTTTATCATCTCTCTGTCAGAAGGTGTGGCACACTTCATCATCAGTCTTCCGAAGTCTGAGCTCATTTCTTGAAAATTACTTTGTGGATGAGACTTTTCCCTAACTCTGATTGGGGTGTGTGTGTATGTGGGTGTGTTTTAATAACTGTTACTAGTTTCTCCTGCTTCTTTTATTTTCGTGTTTTAGGAGAAAAAGTCTCCCATTACTCAGGTGGGCCACCTAGTATATTTTTCACTATGAGGATGTTCTCTCTCCTTGAGCAAACACGCTGTGGTTTTTCCCTTTCAGGGGACCTGTTTGAGAAACCAGAGGTGACAGATGTCAAATTTCTCTTCCTGGTGGGTGGCTTTGCAGAGGCCCCTCTTCTGCAGCAGGCAGTACAGTCGGCCTTTGGGAACAGGTGCCGAATCATCATTCCTCAGGACGTGGGTCTCACCATCCTTAAAGGAGCAGTTCTCTTCGGGCTGGACCCTGCTGTCATTAAGGTACGACGCTCGCCTCTGACCTATGGAGTAGGAGTCCTGAACCGGTATGTGGAAGGGAAGCACCCGCCAGACAAGTTGCTGGTCAAAGACGGCACGCGATGGTGCACCGATGTCTTTGATAAATTCATTTCAGCAGATCAATCGGTTGCCCTGGGAGAAACAGTGAAGCGCAGCTACACCCCTGCCAAGCCCTCCCAGATGCTTATCGTGATCAACATCTACAGTGCTGAACAAGATAACGTCAACTTCATCACTGATCCAGGAGTGAAGAAGTGTGGTACCCTCCGTCTGGATCTCACCGGGACCGATGATACCCCATTGCCCACTCGGAGGGAGATCCAAACATTCATGCAGTTTGGGGACACTGAGATCAAAGCCATAGCCATTGATATTCCCACTTCTAAGAGTGTCAAAGCTGGGATAGATTTCTTAAGTTACTAACTCTCACCCTCCATCCCTCCCATCTCCCATTCTCCCCTCCATACCTCAACTCACTTACCTGCAATGCTTTGGTTTCGAAAGCTCCATCCTTTCCTTTTCACACTTGCCATCACACCCACTTGAATTTCATCAGGATAGATGAGAACACAAAGAACCTAGAAACATTGGGGATTTGGAGGGGTGGGTTGAGATATGTATCAGTAGGCATTCTGAGGCCATGAGATTGTCAGAAATAAGGTATGATATGTAGAAATGAACAGATTCAGGGATAGTCAGAGAAGGGCATCTGGTTCTCACATTAACAGAAGTGGTCAAACACTCCTTCAGACAATGAAAAAAATATTTTTTTTAGCATTGGTTTGTCTTTTAACAGATCTCAGTTAAGCAGAACTAAAGCACTTTTATTATAGTATTTTTAGATTTAATGAGATCCCAGAGCCCAAGGGACACTCTTTGACTTCTTTTATCATAAATATTTGTGAATTTCTTTTAAAATTTTTTGAAGGTCAACATATAAAGATCTACAAGTCTATAGGTATCCTCTTTCTTTGTCATCATGTTTTTCAAGTGGTGCTTAATTGGAAGCCTGGAGTGTTTGTTTCATAACCAGTAAGAGAAGACTGCCTATACCATGCACTGATATTCCACGTTCAACATAAGATTTTAAATTTCAACTGAACAAGAAGTCTTTAATTTGATAAACTGTATACTGTGGGCTCTGCTAATCCAGTAATAATAGCGTAGGTAGAGGGAGACCTGATGTTAAACCCTACATTAATGCAATAGACAAGTAAGTGGATCAAGCTGCTGATCTGCCCAAAGTATTATGCTGATCTGCCCAAACATAATTCAGAGATGACACAAGTGAGCTGCTGGTACCTCTGACATATGCAAGTTGAATGTTGATATTAAGTAAGTCATAGTAGAGCCCTAAATAATTTCAGTAGAAGATGCCTATGATGTTTCACAGAATTAATTGAGCCTAACACTTCTGAAGTTTGTAACACTTGATAAAAAATAAATTTCTTGGGCCAGACTTTCCCATGAAGTAGTGTTGGCCATTCCTTTCCCCATTTAGAGAAGAAATAGAATCAGTGCATAATGAGTGGAGTGTAAGAACTGAAGCCTTCCTTTGAAATGTGTCATCAAATTCTTTAGTTCAAAATGTTTTTCTACCTTACTGAAGAGGGCTTTTCAAATAAATACACGATGGATTAAATGGCAGTCTGAAAACCAAGGCGCTCTATAAAATAGTCCCCTGAGTGTCTTTTTCTGCAGAGGGTAAAAGCTCTTAGAAACAGGGTGTCCAAGATTTAAAAAAAAAAAAAGTTCTGACTCATGAAGACTCGCTAGGATCAGACCTCTGCCTTGTTTGAGTTTCTGCCTTACTTTAGTCTAAGTACACACAGTAAGGAACAAGGAAAGAAAAGAATTAGGGACAAAAACACATGACTGTTGGGTAACTATCTGCTTTGTCACATTATTGATTTAAGATTTTTAAAAAGTTAATATGTTCCTTCATGATTTCTCCAGAGGCACCCTCATGCAAAATCCAGGACTAAACCTCCAAAATGATTGATTGTATGAACCTGGCTCACAATGTATCTGACTTTTCAAAGCTGTATTTTCTCCCTGATGGAATTCATTTAGCTTTAAAGCTGCTGGGGGTTTCATGAATGAATAGAAACTTTTATTTAAATGCAAGTTGGAACCACAACCCATTATCATGGTTAATAGATCTTCTAAATGACATTTCAAAACTTCATTGAACATTTTACATTTTGCCCTTGTTTTCACTTTAACATCTCTTTGTAGAATTCCCTCATAGAATGTGAAACATTAAATACTAGGAATAAATCAAGAATGCTAGTCACATAGCTTGGCATAAAGATTTCTTACACAATTTCAGAGGTATGCTTGCTAGCATTCTATTTCTTGCTGCCTGCCATGCTTAAAAAGCTAAATATTACAGGTTTTTCTTGGGTGTTACCAACCAGAGTTTACAAATAAGGGAGACTTTGCAATTTAATCTTGAACAATATAATTTTATGTGCATACAATATATGAATAATGTACAGAATCTTCATTTCTACAAGGCTTCTTTCTTGTATAAAAAATGCTCTTTGCTTTTTGTTAAATGCATTCCACTCCAAATTGTTACTGATATCATTTCAAGCATTCCAATTAATGACAGGCTTTTTAAAAAGAAGTAAGCAATGCAATATTTATGGAAGGAAGGCTGACCAAAGGGATGGAGACAGTTGACTAGGGCTAAATGTTGTTGTGAATGAATTATACCCACCAGCAATCAGCAGATGGGGCAGAGACAGTGGCAGTCTGCATTTTTTCAAACCCTTCACTATTTTCTTTTAAAAGAATGAAAACTGATCACAGATAACTACTTCTGTCACATACTTGGAAGTCTAGCATTCTGATGTCTGTAAGCGGTCTGACTCTACAGGTAAAATAAGGCTGATTTTTCAACTCCTTACTTCCCGTGGGAAACTTTGATTATTCTTGAAGCCCCTGCTTATTGGGTGAAAAAGTGAAAATTCAGTCCACACCAGTGGCATTTTCAGCATGTCAGTATTTAAAGGAAGGGAAAGGAGGGTGGATTACTCCATCTTTTCTTCATTTTAAAGTGTGAATAAATTATTCAAAAATAGGATTGCCTTTGAAGGGACTTTCCCTCTATCCAGACCTTTCTCCTTTTCCTATTGTCAATATTCTCCTACCTTGCATTCAATATATGTCTCTTTAAGCCAGGTAGATTAGATCACAAACCCCATGGACTGTAGTATGGGCATATGTGATTGAATGGGGCCGGAGATTCCACTGGACTCTGGAAATGCAGCCCAATTAGACAAACTCATTAAGAATTCTCTTATATCTAGTAGCTTTTTTAAAAAAATCATATTGAAACTTCCTAGAACTAGATCACTCTACTTTAATGATACATGTTCTGACCTTATAGAAAGTTTTGAAAAAGATATGTCTTCTTGACCCACTTTACTGAATTGTCCCTCTGACTGCCATCTGGGTAATTGAATCATAAGTATCTTGAAGGCAGGGGCTGTAGAATTTTCTCTGCAACTTCCCCACTCTACACACACCAAGCATGAATAAATGTTGAATGACTAAACAAATAACACTGATAGGAAATAATAATTATGTTTCAGCTTGAGTGGAAGTTGGCATAAAAATGTTCAAGTGAACTTTGCAGAGTGATGACTGTGAGAAAAGGCTACAAAATAGACCCTATCCCTTCATTGTTTAGGTCAAGTTTAGCTGTTAAGAGCCCAGGTCCAGATTAGGCTATTGTCAAAATGTCAAGGAATGGTATGTATAATATAAACTGGAGTCAATAACGTTTATATGGGAAGGTGGGACTTCACGCTCCAAAAACTTAGTGGTTGTAATACACTGTATATTCATGGTAAAAGTGGCTTGAGCAGATGACTAGTAGAAAGAGTTGTTGAGCATAATATTAGACTCCTCACCTGCTTGGAGTACTAAACAATATAATAAAATATCAATCATTGTGGTCCTTTACCTTTCTGCACAAGGGAAATGTGAATCTCACTTGGCAGCAGCTCACAACTTGTCAGGACTGTATCTGCAAACTCCTATGTCTTCACAGGTGTCTAATAAAGCAAAGTAAAGCTCTTGATTTTGTATGCCCCCAGATGTGTATTTATTGCTGGTCTCCAGGGGTTCAAAAGTCAAATTAATAATAAAATCAATAATCAATAGCATTTATATAGTTTGCAAAAAGCTTTACCAATATTTCATTTTATCTTTACAACCACCTTGGGGGTTGAGTGCAATTATTATCCTCATTTTACAGATGAGGAAACTGAAGCAGACAGAGGTTAAGTTACTTACCCAGAGTCACATAACAGCTGGTAAGTGTCTGAGGCAAAATTCAAACTTAGGTCTTCGTGATTCTAGGTCTGGTGCTCTATCCATTGTACCACATTGTTGCTTGTATTGTTACCAGTGAGCTTCCCCTTTTAGATCATATTGCCTAGAAAACAGGATTTTTAAGATTGAGTGTTTTTTTTAACATGGACATCATAGATTTTAAGCTTTTAGAGCAATACAGAATTGACTTCACAATTTATCCTACCGCATTCAAGATAGACAAAGATACTTCATTAAGTTTTTCTTGCTTTAAGGAAGCAGGTAGATGGTACAGATGGATGGGGTGCTGGGCTTGGAGTTAGCAAGATCTGAGTTCAAAATCTGCCTCAGTTATTTACTGTTTATATAACCCGAGGCAAATTACCTTGCCTCAGTTTCCTCATTTGTAACATGAAAAGGATAGACTTGATGGCTTAAGTTCCCTTCCAGCTATAACTCTGATCCTGTGATCATAAGAAAGACTTGAAGACTGGACACATTTGTCCAATCTGCCTTCTGGGAAAAAAATATTTAAAATGAGATGTGAAAGTGAATGATACTTCCTTGTAGCCCAAATTAGTCCTCCTTTCATTTATCATATGAGGAGGAAGAAAACAATATGGATTGGGGTCATGGCCTTGAATATATGTGACTTATCATATGTCAGTGAGAAAGTTGTTCACTGAGAGATATGGTTAGACAAAAAGCTTAGTTAGGTGGGTTTGGAACTGCTTGAATGGCCAGACCCAAACAGAGCCATTATTAATAGGTCAATGTCAGCTTGAATGGAGAGGTCTAGTGGAGCGCCTTAGAGACTTACACTTTGACCATGTACATTTTTATCAGTGACTTGGAAGAAGGCATAGATGACAAGATTGTTAAATTAGCCATGGACATGAAGCTTGGAGACACAGTTAACATGCTGGACAACAATCCAGGTGCAAAAAGATTTCATTAGGTGGGAATGCTGGAGCTGAATCAAATAAGGAATAATTTGATTAAAAAAATAAACATAAAGCTCTACACTTTGGGTTCTAAAACTCAACTTCAAAAATATAGCAATGAGGAATTATGACTGGATGAGAGTGCCCACGAAAAAGTTTTGAGGGTCTTAGTAGATCACGAACTTAAAACTTAATATTAAGCAAGAGGGTGCTATGGCATTGAAAACAACAACAACAACAACAAACTAATGTTATTTCATAACATCCAGAATAAATTCTGCTATTGGTTAGAATTTTTATATATGTATATGTATACAGAGAGAGAGAGAGAGAGAGAGAGAGAGAGAGAGAGAGAGAGAGAGAGAGAGAGAGAGAGGGAGTACTACCTTCAGTACTAACAGCCCAGTTCCCTCAAAACATGGGAATCACCATGGATTCAGACTTACAGGACTGTTGGGATATAGGGTATGACTATGTTGGTATTTCCTGGCCAGCAATACACTCTGAGCATATAACTAGCCAATGTCATTATCCAACTTTGATTGGTAGCATGTATCTTACTACTTGTCAAAATGTCAGGGAATTTTTGTTGATCCAAATTTGAAACTGAACACCAAACACATTAATAATCGTTAAAAGCGATTATCAGTGATAACTTACTTCAAAGCCAAGGACTCCAATTCATGGGTGGGTAATGAGACTCACTCTTAATGAGTCTTCAACTTGGCCAATGAAATAAGTTCCTTGGTGATTATCACTCTTGTAGTAGAGTTGTACATGAGACCTTTAGATTGGTATCAATATATAACACCAAGACTTCATTATTTATCCCAATAATTACCAAATGGTTCATGCAAATTTAGGCCAGATTGCCCCCTCTTTAACCTTCTGCTTTAACTTCTTCCCAACCATATATATATAAGTGACATGACTGAGGGACTTAGCAATGAGGGCATACGTCTCCACTAATAATAGCCACCAAATCCTACATGGAAAAAAAAGTCTTCAATTCACAAAATAATTTTAGACAGTTACGGGTAAAAAGCATGTCTATCTTCTCAGGGTTAGTATTCATTCCCTGCTGAGAAACTCCATGGCCCACGAATTTGATAGAAGTCTTTCAGAACTGGTATGTACCTTTTTAAAAGGTGTTTTATTAGTGTTTTTTATTATCTTTTTAGGCAATTGGGGTTAAGTGACTTGCCCAGGGTCACACATCTTAGTGGGGTTTTTTTCTATTTTTAAATCACACCATTTGTAGAGATATGCCTCTTCCCTGGAGAATTGAACCTTTCCTTGGAACCAAGAAAAATAGTTGAGCAAAAATAACAGCTATGTTACTTTTTGGCAATGCTTGTCTGTGTTTGTGTGTTTGACTATGTTTAACAATGTTTTTCAAAGGTTTTTTCTTCACTTACAGTTCCATACCTCTCTGCTGAGAAATGAGAGATACATTCCATTATAAGGTCTAAGATTCCACTCTGTATCAGTTCATACAAATTTTTCCAAGTTTCTCTGAATTCATCACATTTATTATTTCTTACTGAACATAATATTCCAGTCCATCCATATTTGTATGTCCACACTTGTGTATTCATAAGAATTAGATAGTATAGTGAAAAACAAAACAAAACAAAACACCAGATTTAGATCAGAGAACCTGAGTTCAACCTTTGGTCTTTTACTCAGCACCTTCATGAACTTGGGCAAATCACTTATATTCTTTGGGCCTCAGTTTCCTCATCTGAAAAAGGAGAAGACTGTCTCAGATATCCTCAGAGGTATCTTACAACAGAACTGGTAGTTGGTAATTGACATCTTTTGACCAACGGCTTCTTGGCACTCTAATACTTTCAGTAGCCTCTTCTCGTGTTCTTCTAGTGTCTTTCCAATTATGGGTAGTGGTGTGGTTCAGTGAAAAGAATACTGTCTTGGGATAGCTAGGTGGCCCTGGAGTCAGGAGAACCTGAGTTCAGACACATAACACTCACTAGCTGTATGACCCTGGGCAAGTCACTTAACCCCAATTGCCCTCACCAAAAATAATAATAATAATAATAATAATAATAATAATAATAATAATAATAATAATAATAATAATGTCTTTAGGCAGAGCCTCTTAAACTTTTTCCACTTGTGTTTCTTAAACTGTGACCCCATATGGGTAATATAGTAGAGTTATAAGAACTGAGTCCAAATTCCATCTCCTCCTTACTACCCAAATAACCTTGACCAAGCCACTTACCCTCCCCAGGCATCAGTTTCCTCATCTGAAAAATGCAGAGGTTGGAAAATATGAACCCTGAAATCCCTTGTAGCTGTCATCTATGATACTGTGTTGAGATCGTGTAGACACCCCAACACCTCCACTACATTTATGTCACCAATTACTTTTTCCATAAGTCTTTGAAAAGTGATGGAGGCTGTAGAAATCCTAGGGGATATGTACTCTTATTGACAGAATCCCATTGGTCTCTAAGAGTTCCTGGGCCTTTCCATCTGCCCATCTGCAGTTCCTTGAAACCTTTCCATATGTCCTACAGATGAATTCTATTGTATGTTATTAATATAATATAAAAAAGTTACATACAATGTTATTCAGCTTACTGGAATAAGCAATTTAAATCTTGAACTAGCAATGTATCACTAATGAATATTGATAAGGAAATAAAACGAATCCTAGCAAAAAGACTACAGTATTTTATGTCCAAAAATGATTCACTCTAAGTTGGATTTATATCAAAGATGGTTCAAAATTAGGAAAACAATTAACATAATCAATCATATTTAAAAAAACACCAAAGCAACAGGATCATATCAATAGATGGTGAAAAACTTTTCACAAATTGCTAAATTCATTAATTCTAAAAACTTTACAAAGCATAAGCACAGAAGGGCCATTTTAAGATGCGATTAAAAGTTCATGTCTACAGCCAAAAGTTAGCATTATTTGCTGGGGGAAAAACACTAGAAATTTTCCTAGTAAATACAGGAGTAAATTAAGGATGATGCCCCTTACTCACTATTATTTGACATAGTACTAGAAACAATAATAATGTAAGAGAAAGAATTAAAGGCATAAACATCACCTAAGAGACAAAACTATTCCTATTTGCTGATAACATGTTGGTTTAGTTAGAAAACTCTGAGAATCAGCAAATAAGTTTAGATGACACCATTAATAGCTTTAGCAAAGTAGTAGGATACAAAGCAAATTCACAAAAAATCGAAGCATCTCTATATAATAACAATAAAATTTAGACAGAAATGAGAAAGACATTCCACTCAAAGTAACTACAAGATGTCCCCCATTTAAGGAGGACTCCCAGGCCAGGCATTTCGTCATTTCCCACCACACTTCACTCCTTTGGACTTCCTGATCATACGCCTTTGGCAGGTATTTGCTTTCCTTCCACCTCTCTTCCCTCCCCTCTTTTCAGCTTCCTTTCAAGTACTGTCTTCCCAATTAGAATGTACGCTCTTTGAGGGCACCCTTTTTCTTGTATTTGTATTCCTGGCACTTTAACATAGTCCCTGGTATATAGTAAGTACTTAATAAATACCTGTTGACTGACCAGCCTCCATCAGAATGTAATACTGAGCCAATGAAAACTCTGGCTCTGGAGCCCCTTGCTACTTTTCTCAGCTTAAATGTGAGACACAAGGTAGGTAATAAGTTTTGGAAATCACAGGTTAAGCCAATATCAACTTAACATTCTATTTAACCACTGCAGGATCCATAACTCTAATAGCAAAAGTACACAAAATCAACATAAATAATGAAAGAATTAGACATAAATGGGTGTAACCACCTATATGTTGCAGAGAGTTATCATCTAATTTTGTCCCTACTCCGTGTTCGGACTAATCCTCCAACCCCAACATATTGGGAAAGGGAATTAGTAGTCACTTAGGAACTCATACAGTCCAGTGGTAAAATACCCTAGGGTAGGGGTTTCGGTGGTCTGTGAACTTGGATAGGGCAGGGGTGGGGTATGCACGTTTATTTTCACTAACTTTTGGTTTGCTTTTGTAATTCTGTGTATTTATGTGATACATTTAAAAACATTATTCTGATTTATAAACCTCGCCAGATCGCCAAAATTATCCATCATACAAGGGTCAAGGCTGGAGTCTCTCTAGACCCAGACTTCGGAGTTCCAAGAAGATGTCAGTACTTATCCAGAAGTTTCCTTTTGACCCCTCAATTGCTTTTTAAACTTCCCACCTCTCCAAGATTCCCTACCAATCAGAGTCTTCGCTTGGTGATTGCCTTTGCCCTCTGAAGGGATTCTGATATATTGCTTTCTGGGAAATGTAGTCCAAGAAGTACGCTTCTCTTCTCCCTCCCACGCATCTTCTGTGTGAACCAGAACGTGTGCGAGAAACAAATTTCAGAACACATAAATGAGTTGCTTTTATTGGATTGTTTCATTGTTTGTATTCACAGAGCCTAGAACATTGATTGACAGATGCCAGTTGACTGATTATTCCACCAACCTTTATGTTCATCCCATTTCATGTTGCTGCTCACTCTTAAAGTTCGTAAATTTAGAGCTGAAGGGGGACTTTAGAGGTCATCAACTACAACCCACTCATTTTTTTTTTCTTTCAAATTTTGAAACTGAAACACAGTGAGGTTAGCTGATTGGTTCAAGGAAGATCTGAGTTCAGATCCGTCCTCAGATACTTCCTTAGCTGTGGGCTCTGGGTAAGTCAAACCCTCTCAAATTCAGTTTATTCATCTGTAAAATGATAATGACAATACCATAAACCTTAATGAGTTGTAATGAGGTAATATATGTTAAACGCTTTGCGAACCTTAAAGTACTGTGAGAAATGCTAGCCAGCTATTATTAGTGGCAGCGACAGCAGCATTTGGACCCCAAACCTGTGACCCCAGGGCCAGGGCTCTGCTTAGTGCACCCGTTCCATCCCTTGGCTCGAGAGCTGATCATTAAACAGGACTCCAGATTCTAAACCCAACGTACCCGGGCTTCACTCGCTTCACTTCACCCTGGGTCTGGAGCTTATAGCTCGCCCTTACAAAACAAGCAAGCACAGCATCCAACCTGGTCCCAACACAACCAGTACCCTCCTGGGGCTGCTTGCTCCACCTGGCCTGGTGGTTGTCAAGATGGTGGTGGGGAGTTGATTGCCATTTTTCGAATCCTACCCAGGAACCTAAACTGGAATTTTCAACCTCGGGGGAGGGCGCAGAACCCGATGATTCCCAGCCAGCGCAAGGGTGCAGAGGGGCTGCCCCAACACCTTCATCTCCAGCAGCTGGAAGTGACGGAGTTAAGGACGCGCTGAGCGCACAATGTTGGGGAGGGGCCATGGGCAGAGGGGTGGGGCCTGTCTGTAGGAGCACTCTGGGGGCCCTGGCCGGGTCCGGCGAAGCAGCGCCAAGTCTACTCCAGCGCCGCAGCTGTTTACTGCTAGCTCGGGGAGCCCTGTGGGTGAGCCTCCCCCACCGCCCGTGTCCTGGTCCTGCACCCTGTTCTCGCCCTGTCCTGGGACCTCTGAGCTCACCTTCCCGGTCTGCTGTCTTAGGATCCAGTCTGATTCCCCATCTCCATCCTAACCCACCCTGTCGTCACCCCCAATCCTCCTTAGCCTCGTTCTCTGTGGTAGAGGTGGGCAAAAATCTTTCCCTCTTAGAGAATGCTTTCTCCATTTCAGCTCCCGCAGTACGTGGGAGAATGAGTCCTTGAATTCCTGACCTTGCTTGAGAGGATGTATAACAATAGAGGTTTTGTGTTCTCACATCCATTAATTCGTTTGATCCTCAAAACAGCCTTGTGAGTTAGGTAGGAAAGATGATATAAGTACTCATTTTACAGGTGAGGAAAAAAGTCTTAGAGAGGTGAGGTGTTCTGCCCAAGGTTACACAGCTGGCAAGTGTTGGAGCCCAGCCTTGAAGCCAAGTGTTCTAACCTCAAGGCTAGTGAGTTTTCTTTTTTGGGAAAGGACCATTATAAGAGAAGGACTTTTTGGAGGAGTGCTGCATGCTCTTGGGCATTGGCCAAGTTATTTCCTCTCTGCACATTGATGTCATGGGATCTTAGATTTAGAACTGGAAAGGATTCCCAGAGGCCATCTGGTACAACCCCATCATTTTATGGATGAGGAAACTGAGGTCCATCGAGGTTGAGTGATGTGGGCAATTGATAACACAAGCAGTATCAGGATCTGGATCAAATTCTCACTCTAGATAGTTGTACAACATTGCCTCCTGTAAAATGAAAATATTGGTCTATAAGGTCCCTTCAAGTTTTGATAGATGCTTCTTTGCTAGCTTTGGGGAGGAGGCAGGGATGTCCTTGGAGAAGGAAATAGAGACTCAGAGATGAAGAGCAGTATAACAGGGCTACCTCCAGAGATAACTTTTGCTGGCTGTTTTCAAGCAGAGGTTGAATGATTACTACCCTCTTGAGAATTTATGCTTCAGTCCAGGTTTCCACCACATCGCTTCTGACCTTCAGTCATGATAGTGTATGATTCTAACGAATCCAAGTGTTTCCCTGTGATGATTTAGCCCCTTCACTCTTTGCAAAGCACTTTTACATTCACAATCTCATTTGATTTCTCTATATTAAATATGCTTAGAGGGAGGCTGTTAGCTAATTTGGGTTAGCTTTGGGAAAGCTGTGGCCATGCTGATAAGAAATACAGGCCATGGTTCTCTTCTGTTGTAGATGTAGGGCCCATCAGATTTGCTCAAAACAGAACAAAGCACTGGCATTAAACAGTACTTATTATCAGCAAACTTTAATGACATAATCAGCACAATTGAATAATTTTACCCCAAGCACATTTTTATTCATTGGCACTGGATGACCCAACAACAAAGAAAAAAAAATTCTCCAGAGAAGCTTCATGACAGCCTAGAATAGTGGACGAAGGGTCAGCCTTGGAATCAGAAAAACCTGGGTTCAAGTTCTACTGGCTATGTGACCATAGGAGAATCACTAAATCTTCCAGTGCCCTCCAGACATCTCTAAAAAACTGTAAATTAAATACAAGTTGCCCATCTGCATCACTGAAAAGAGTTGCTAACACAGGCAATTGCTCACACCCATAGTATCACCAGATAAAGAAAGGATAAACAGAATCTTATTCTTGTCATTCCTTTTGTGTTTGGAATGATTTCTTTGTTATTCCTCAATCGTGTTTCTCTCCCCCACATCCTCCCCCCTCAAATTCCACTGCTATGGATGTTCATTTTAACCAGATCCCACATAGATACAATGATAAAGATAGAAATGTATGTGGCCCCACTCATCTTGATTTACTCCAGTAACACATACAACATTCTTTTTGGAAGGCCACCTGATTACTCTTATTAAGGCAGCAACCCACTTGGGTACTTGGGGGATTTGCCCCACTTAGGAGGATGCTGCCAGCCACCTAGGATCTGGAGCCCTTGTGGCACACAATTGTAAGTCCCTATAAAATCATAGAATATTAGAGTTTAAAGGGACCTTAGCTAAAGTCCTGTTCAATCCTCTAAATCTGCAGAGCAGAAAATAGGAATAGAGAAGGAAGTTTACCTGAGTCACATATGAACTCAGTAGCAGAGCTGGGACTAGAACCCAGATCTCCTGACTCCTTTATTCAGATACTCTTTATTAAGGTTTCCATCCATGAGTCTTTCTTTACTGTCTTTACTGTTGCTTAGGTTCCTCATCTGTAAAATGGGGTTAATAAAATTTGTACTACATACCTCTCAAGGCTGTGGTATGAGGTTCAAGTAAGCTTCAAATATGAAACATTTGGGGGATAGTAAAGCACTACAAAAGTACAAGTTATTATTATTGTTATTTTAGGGCTGCTAACTTAATAAGAAATGGATGTGCTATGCATTGAAATTATTAAAAGCCCAGTTCTCCCACCCTCTTGAAGAAAGCAAGGTAAGACACCCAAAGGTGATGTGCTGTAAGCCAGTAGGACATGGTGACAATCTACTTTTGTGTTTCTTGTAGCCTTATAGAGCTCAATTATTTTAATATGTATGTTATGGCTCCCATGTAGGTTTTGAGTCACGCCAAAGAAATGAGTTTGTTAATTGAACTGTCTGAAAATGAAGTTTTCATTAAATTTGCTTTCTCAGTTAAATCTATACCTAAAGACCTTATCTCTTGTTTTTTGTAGACATAAATAGCCTTGATTATTAGAGGTCCAGATTCACAACTGTACCAGTCATGCCTTTTAATCTTTGTGGACCCTACTATACCTAGTACAGGGCCCTATAGACAGCAGATGATCGTGTTTATTGATTTAATTCATTTCTAAGAAAATATGGAGCCATTTCAAGAAAACTCAGACCCATCACCAGTCTTTATGAGAAACCTTCCAATTACACCAGGATATGGAGGTAAGTGATGGATTCCTTTGATAATTATGATTCTGTTATGAGGAGAGGACTTAAAATGTGTAATTGGGAAGATATTTGAGCATATCATCTTTGGGCAGTATGTTGAGTAGATGACCGCCAGGGTCCCTTCCCACTCTAGATACTGGGATTTTTTTCTGCCTTTTAGTAACTGCCAGTTGTAGAGTCAGCATGGCAGTGTACAGTGCTGGGCTTGGCATAGAAAAGATTTGGGTTCCCATCCTGACCCTGCTTCTAGCACTCACTAGCTGTGTGACTCAGCAAATTATTTAACCTCCTACTTGTGCCTCAGGCAAGCCCCTAGAACTTATCAAAGCATAGGTGAGTGGCATCTTCCTTGATGGAAGTGGGAAGAATACCCCTAGTCTGGAATCACACTGGTGCTTCCTATATTACTTATGGCTAATTGCCTTGCGAGGAGTGAAACAAAGGACAAAAATGTGATATCTTCTTTCTAACAGACAGCAACAAAGATTTCTTTGGATACACCCAGTTGGTTTTTCTCAGAGCTGCTCCATTCCCAACTGATGACTTTGCCCCAAATCTTTCTGCATCATAAAAAGTTTGCTTTAACTAAATTATCCAGTGAGTTGCTCCAACTGCTTTGTGGGAAGACAAGGAGATATAAATAACACCAGTAATACAGGATAGATTGTAGTTATCCAATTTCATGCCTTTTCTACTAGCAGAATTTTAGTTTTGTGCACACCTACATACCAATCAAGATAGGATTTGATGGTGATTAAAAATAACAGCTAATAGCTAACATTTATGTAGTGTTTACTATGTACCTAGGGACCGTGTGCTAATCACTTTACAATTATTATCTCATTGGCATAGCATTAAAAATGCTATTTAAGCTTGATCAACCGGAAACTCTCCAAGGGCCAGGGAGGGAGGGTGGTTCACGTGTCTTATTTGTCTTGCTACCCGAAGTCCAGCACAGGGTCTTGGATGGGAGATACTTAAATGTTTGCTACTCCTCCACCATTCCACATAACAATTTTGTATTTTGTCGTTTAGTCATTTCAGTTGTTTCGGACTCTTTGTGACCCCATTTGTGGTTTTCTTTACAAAGATACTGGAGTGGTTTGCCATTTCCTTCTTCATCTCATTTTACAGTTGAGGAAATTGAGGCAAACAGGGTTAAGTGACACCCAGGGTCACCCAACTATGAAGTGTCCAAGGCCAGATTTAACTGAGGAAGATGAGTCTTCCTGACCCAGGCTTGGCACTCTATCCACTGAGTTGGGGGACCTAGCTGTCCCCACATAATCATAGCTTCCATTTATCAACAGTATGCAAAATACTTTTCTTAAAATAGTCTGGAGAGGTAGACTGGGCAAATTTCCATTTTCTACTTGAGAAAATTGAGGATCAGAGAAGGAATGAGACTTGCCTACAACCATCTAGTTTATTAAGTGGCAAGAGCTAAGATTCAGGATCTAAGTTTCTTTATTCTAAAGCCAGTGTTCTTTTCTTTACCCACTGGTCTGTCTCTCTGTCATTAGAGGAAATTGTTACCTGGAAAAGGAGGAAGGGAGGTAAATATAAGCATTGATAAAATAACTTGAAATTCACCATTATTCCAAAGACATTATGCATTTTGTGTGTGTGTGTGTGTGTGTGTGTGTGTGTGTGTGTGTGTGTGTCTTGGTTTGGACGGTGGAGTGTGGGTCATCTGAAGTCTAGTTCTATTTAGATAAAAAGGGCAAAATAGTATCTTCAACTAAGGCGTATTTGTCTTTAGCTTTAAATTACGTTGATAGCATGTCTTTCCACATACATCTACCCTTTTATAAAAATATTGTTTTACTGTGACAATATTATAGTGTTTAGAATTCAGCATCAAGCCTCAAATAATTCTGTTTTACCCACGCTAATTTTAATGATTACATGTTATTTTGAGGAAAATGGCAAAAAATTGGTCAGGGGGTGTTTCTCACATATAACCCATTTACCTTTTTCATGTGTTTGGTCTTGGCTTTAATAAGACTGCAATTTCCAAATGGGCCAAAAAGAAAGATCCAAAATTACATTTTGGAAGTGTCAAAGAAAATAAGCATTCTCTCTAAGAACATGAATAATTTCAGTAGCTTCTTGGAATGATCATTTTGTCACATTAAATATTCCCCCATTTGCTGTTAAGATTGACATCAGGAGATGGACTCTAAAAGAATATCACTGTCATCTTCTTTGTCTGAAGGGGACTACCTATCCCATCCCTCCTCCAAGGTCATTTTTCCCCCAGGCCTGGGGAGGGTTACATAGCTGGTGAAACCACATTGCTGGTGTTAACATTTATACGCAAAAATCGAATAGTTCTTTTGGCCATGTGAGAAATTCCAGATGTTGTTGGGTTTACCATTCACTAGAAATGAATTAGAGTTATTGGTGATCTTCTGTCCACTCCTTTCTAAGTTAAATGCTATATTACATGTATTTGGCTTCTGCAGGTTATGTCCCTCTCCGGCTCAGCAAAATGGGTAATTCTTACAACAGTGACACCAGTTACTGTATCAGAAAATTTAGAGACACAACTCAGAGACACAAAAATCAGCTGGAGGCACTGAGATACCACACAGCCACTGCTGACAAACTACAAGAAATCTGTTCCAAAGAAACGGTTTTAAGGATGATACATGATTACTATGTCCGCTGTCACCCAGCTTGTATAGGTACTCAGTTTTTCAATAAACTTTGCTATCACTTAGTCCTAGAAACAGAACCTACAGCAAGAAATTACCTGACCACTGAGTAAATGGAGGTTCACAAGTAAATGAAGGACAGCTGAGTAACCTGACAGTAAGTGGTGAAATGGATAAAGCAGCTGATCCTGGAGTACAAGATCCTAGTTCAAATCCAGCCTCAGGCACTTACTAGCTGTGTGACTTTGGGCAAGTCATTTAACTTCTGTCTGCCTGAGTTTTCTTAACTGTAAAATGAGGATAATTATAGCACCTATCAGGGCAGCTAGGTGGTACAGTGGATAGAACACCAGCCCTGGATTCAGGAGGACCTGAGTTCAAATCCGGCCTCAGACACATAACACTTACTAGCTGTGTGACCCCTGGGCAAGTCACTTAACCCCATTGCCTAATCCTCCCCCAAAAATTTAATAATAATAGCACCTATCTTGCAAGGTTGTTGTGAGGATCACTTAGCACAGTGCCTGGCACACAGTAGGTGCTATAAAAATGCTTATTCCCTTCTTTTCTCTAAATGGGAAAGCCTTCATGAACAAGAGCAGGACAGTTTTCAGAATCTTTACTTGTAAATATGAAGTGTGAAAGGCTAGATTTTTGAAACCAGGTAAACAAAGCATTTCAAATGAGAGAGGTAACTGGCAGTGGGATTCTAATGGGAAGAAGAAGGCATTGGGCCAGGAGTTAGGAGAGCTGAGTTCAAGGGCCAGTTTTATCACTAACTTGGTATGTAACCTTGGACCAGTCATTTTACCTTTACTTCAAGCTGTAAGGGCCCAGAGCACATCTGTAAAATAAGGGGATGGATTAGACAATCTCTCTGGTCTCTACTAAATTCTAACAACTGATAATGATATCAAACCAGCCAGTGCTTATTCCACATCTATTTCAAATTCTTAGTTGCTGCAGGTTATACTAGTTAAGTAAATGACGAAGCTTACCTTCAGATTGTAATAGAATTTTATAACCTCCTCTTCCTGAGTTTAAATCTGGCCTCAGACACTTACTAGCTGGGTGACCCTCAGGCAAGTTACTTAACCCTGTTTGCCTCAGTTTCCTCATCTGCAAAATGAACTGGGGAAGGCAATGGTGAACCACTCCAGCTAAGTTAAAGACACAAAGCCTATGAGAGCATGGGGAGCTTAAAGAATAGCAAGAGATGAGACTGGAACATCAGTAATGCTACAGAAGGTGGTGTGATACATGCCCTAAGAGAGAGGCACAGGGTGGTTTAGAGAGATTACATCTGGTTAGGGGGCTCAAGAGGAAGGTAAGGTAACTTTTAATATATGCCATAAAATATGAGCTGGAAGGCATCTGGGAGGCCATCTTGTTCAGTCTATCTCCCATGAATCCCCTTAATGACATCTGGCACGTGTTCATCCAGCCATCACTTGAAGACTTGAAGTGGTGGGGAACTCATCTCCCAAGGCAGCTTATTGCACATTCAAATACTTCCATCTGTCTTGAATTTTCTCCTTATAAATCAATGAATCAACAATGTGCTAGGTCTAAAGCACTTGTACTGAGTGTAAATTGCGACCCCCCAGGTAGATTCTGGTATTTCTCTTAACCTTGAGGCGGTACTTGGTCACCTTTCAGTTTACACCCTCTGGCCTCAGGGCACTGGGGTAAGGACTGCATAAGGACTTGCAAGATAAATGCCAGCACTGTGTTAGAAGAGGGCAAAGGGGAAAGGACAGAATGGCTTGGACCTCCCCAGGCATCTCCTCTCCAGGAAATGTATTTAGCCAATTTGCCATTCCTGTCTACTGTGCTAGGGCAGCTAGGTGGTGCACTGGCTAGAGTGCCAGGCCTGGAATCAGGAAGACTCACCTTCCCCAGTTCAAATCTGGCCTCAGATACTTACTAGCTGGGTGACTCCAGGCAAGTCACATAACCCTGTTTGCCTCAGTTTCCTTATCTGTAAAATGAACTGGAGAAGGAAATGGCAAACCATTCTAGTAGAAAACCCCAAATGGGGTCACAAAGAGTCTGGCATGACTGAACAATTAATGTGTTATGTAGAATTTCTTACCTCTGACCTTTTAAAGGACTTAGAAAATTGGAAACTTGCAAAATAAGATGGCAACACAATCTTCAACAGTTAAGCTCAGAGATAAGTAGAGGAATGGGATTTGAGAATGGATTCTTTTGAAGGGAGAAAAATAATGTTAACAACAGCTCACATTTATATATCACTTTAAGGTCTGCAAAGGGCTTTAATGATGAAGTAAAAGTAGACTTAACTTGTGAGAGGTAAAATAGGAGATAGAGCCAAACATTAGGAGGTTTCATTGTCTAGTTCTGTAGTTCTCAAACTTTTCATTAAATACTACACTTAATATTTATATTTTAATATGAGTTTTAAATTCTTAAATATTTTAAAATATACAGTCTTAAATATTATTGAGGAGTCACCCAAAGAGTTTTTTAGCTTATAGCTATCAATATTGACTATGTTAGAAATCAAAATATCTTAGCATTATTATGAAAATAGTTTTGACTTCAATGAGCCCCTGAAAGAGTCTCAGGCACCCCCAGGGGTCTCCAGGCCACAATTTGAGAACGACTGGTCTAGTAGAAAGATAATTTGGTCAGGAAAACTAAATTTGCGTCTCCAAATCAGACATTTACTATGTGAACTTTGAATAAAGCACTTTTCTGAGTTCCATTTGCAAAATAAAGAAGACACTACTTCTACTAGCCTCTTTAAAGAGCTACTGTAAATAAAGTGCTTTGTCAACCATAAAGTCAAAGGTGGCTATATAGAGTGACAGATGTCCCAGAATGTTGATGGGGAGTATTCCCATTAGTTTATTGACATCTTTCCCATTCTTCAAGGCCCAGTTCTAATATTATATCCTGAATGGAGCCTGCTATCATTCGTCCAGCTACAAGCAAATGATTAAAATTCTGGGGTTTTTTTAGCATTCATTTCCATTATTGTATGTAGTCTTTGTGTATATCATTCTCTTCATTCTGTCTTTGCTCCAAATCCGTTCATACAAGTTTTCCCATGTTTTTATGCATTTTATAATTTTTATAGCAGAATAAAATTCCATTACATTCATATACCATAATTTATTCAACCTTTCACATTGATGTACCTCCAATTTGTCTCTAGTTTTTTGCTTCTGTGGTGTTTTTTTTTTATGTTTTGTTTTGTTAGGCGATAGGGTTACATGGCTTGCCCAGGGTCACACAGCTAGTAAGTGTCAAGTGTCTGAAACTGGATTTGAACTCAGGTCCTCCTAACTCGAGTGCTGATGCTCTATCTACTTCGTCACCTAGCTGCCCTGTTTTTTTGCTTCTATGAAGAAAACTATGAATACTTTGTTAGATATGGGAATTTGGGGTCATTTATTTCTTTAGGGTATAATACTTAATAATGTGATCAAAGGGTGTGAACAGTTAGTAAATCTTTTCATTCTTCAAAATTGATGCCTAGAATGGTTGGACTGTTCATAATTCCATTAATACTGTATGGATTTGTTTGTTTCCCTACAGACTCTCCACCATTAGCTTATTCCTGTCTTTTTCCATCTGGCAATTTGGTTAGTAAAACTTGTGAGCTGCTAAATGTACAGTTCTCTCCTTATTAACTATTTGGAGCACTTGTTCATGTGGTCCTTAATAATTTGCATTTCTTTTTGTTAAAAAAGCTGTTCATATCCTTTGCCCAATCCTTTGGGTTGCTGCTTTGTTTTATAATTTGGGATCTTTTTTCCCCCTTATTTTCACAGAAACTCTTGGCTTTTGGTTTCCCTCAAATGAATTTCATTGTCATTTGTCTTAATTCTTCTCTGTCAAATCTCTAGTTTGATTGGCGTATGAAATACGTCAATTAAAGTGGGTAGTATTATCATTTTTATTTTATTGATATGGCCTGACCATGTCAAAACCATGCCATGATTAGCATTAGGGGAACTATAGCTTTATATTGTATTGTAGTTATTTGTGTTGATGGTTTATTTCACTTTCTGGATTGTGAGCTGATTGAGTTCTATCTTATCTACCTCCTCTAGGATCTATTAAAATGCCTTCAACGTGACAGATACATAATAGCTTTTTGGGGGAATGAATGTTAACTTAGTTCTCAGAAGATGAAAAGAAAATAAATTCAGTGTAACTGTTAGTTGACCTAACTTGAAACTCTAACATAGGCTTTGTACAAGCAAGCCCTACTTACAGTTACTCAATTTGAGAACAACTTGTGTAACAAGTAAAGTGAATGCTCGGTCATATTTTTGTTTGCATTTCTGTAGTGAGAAGACAGTGTGGTGTAGTGGCTTATAGAGCAATAATGTCTAGATGAAGTTGCTTGCCATGAGCTCCCTTTGAAACACAGTTTCAGTAAAATATATAGATATAGATGTATAGATATGTATGTGTCATAGACACATACATACACATATATAGTATGTGTGTGTATTTGTGTGTATGTATATATACATATACATATGATATATATGTACACGTACACACACACACACACACACACACACACACACACACACACTTTTTTTTTTTAAAAGACTGGGTCTTCCAATTTCACCCAGGCTGGATGTGAAGAGACTAGTTGGAAGCCACCTTCTATTTTTTCACGATACAGAACATGAAAGGTGACTTGACCAAAAGACAGATACCACTCTTACACGGATGTATAGAATTAAGTACACATTGATATCTGAAAACATGTCTCCCACCTTCTTTCCCTTTCTTTATCTTTTCCCACAGGAGCTACTGCCTCCTGACACTGATGCTATTGTCGTTATTACTGCTAGGAGGATAGAAGAAGGAATGCTTTTTTTTTTCTCAGAAAGCATTTTCCTATAATGTTATACATTGTGATTTTGTATAGTTGAAATAATATTTTAAATATTATATTTCAGGGATGTTATAGGTTAAATAAATTTTGGGAGTAGTAGATAAGGAAATAGAAGCCTAATTCATATAACATTTTTACATTATTGGTAGGGGACTAGGCATTCTAGGCTAGGAAAAACCCATGTACATATACTTTGGGAAACCTATCTGTACGGGATCTGAGAGAAAATTCTAGGGTCATGGGTCTATATGGGTCTATCATGGGTTTTTGAAAAGAAACAGGTGAATTAGAGGCTATATAATATAGTATGATATGATATGATATGATATGATATAACATGATTTAACAACATGATATATGATAATATATGATAATTATGTATTATTAGATATTAGATAAATTAGATAATATAATTAGAGGCTATATAATTATACACAGACACCCCCATACACACACACACACACACACACACACACACACACACCCCTCATCTGAAAGTGAGACCTAGAGAGAGATGAAGGAATGTGTCCGAAGTCACGCAGGTAAGAAGTGACAGAAGCAGGATCTGAAACCAGGCATCAGTCTCCACAGTTGACTCTTTCCGTCATGGCATTTTCTTATATTTATTTGCATGCATTTTGCCTATACTAATATATGTAAATGTTACCTCCCAGATAAAATATAAGGTCCTTGAGACCTTGAGCTGCTCTTCCTATCTACAAGTCCTAGCATACTGCCTGTCACATAACTGCTTAATAAATACTGGTTGATTGATTGATTAGTTGATTTTCATAGGGCAAATTTCCTGCCTCTCTATGTGACTCATGATGAATATATGTAAAAAAAAAATTTCTGAGTGGCTTCTGAAGCATTTTTATTGTTAAGATAAGCCCTTTTTGAGCACAGATCTTCTGGTTTAGACACTACATGACTATCAGCTTGAACTTTTGGATCCTTAGCAATTTAAGAGGGCACTTGAGTACTGGTTAACTAGGGGTATTGCTTGTAAGTGTGATTTTATCCCCTTGCAGAAGCTGATCATAACAAGAAGCCTTTACAGGAGCCCCCCATTCCTGGCTGGGCTGGCTATATACCAAGAGCCAGGGTTACGGAACTTGGCTATGCTGTGCGTCATCATGTGATGGCAAAACAGAGCTATGAAGATTTCCTAAATATGATAGAAACACACAAGAAAGGTCCACTCAAACATTACCAGAGGTAAGATTCACCTGAAGAAGTTAGCAATGGTTAGCAATAGGAAAAAGCACTTGAAATCCAAAGTAATTTGTTCATATTCCAAATGTGTCTTCATCTATATCTAAATTTGCTGCAGAGGTGCTTTTTGCTTTTTGCAGTCAATACTCAACATCTTGGAGGATAACCCAAGACAGCGGTAAGATGTCCCTCGTCCCCAGGCAGTATGACTGAGACCTCACTGTTCCTTGTGAAGAGAAGAGGGGTTGAGTGCTGAATTGACTGTCCTTAGGGGCAAATGAGGGCGTATCTGACAACCCTGCCACTTCAGGGTGGGACTCTAGCAGTAGCTCAGCTGGAAAGAAGATGGGGAGGGACTGGAATGACTTCCAGTTGTGTCCACAGATCTACAAAAAAACACAATTCAGAAGGAGGAAAATCATCAATTGGCTGTAAGATATGGAAGCCCTCTGGGCATATTTTGAAATAATATTGTGGTTTCTATTTCAACTGCAGCCTGATGGGAGATAAGCCATTTAAAACTTCCCATGTACCTCCTAAGTTTTGCCCAGAATTTAAACCAAAAGATCAATGTAAGTATCCTTTTTTGTTTCACAAATCAGGTTGAACCTGTTTTCCACTGACATATTCATTAGCTGGCTCCTAGTCTAACACCAGGGCTAAACGCAGTGTTCATCATTGAACTAAAAACTAACAACTTTATTTTACAGATGAAGATTCCACTAGAAGACCCTGTGGAGGTGGTTATGGAAGCTCTTCACTTTATGCCTTTCCAACACTGTATCGAGGACCCTGCAGACCTGGGAAATACCTTGAACCATTGCCCTGTAGAAACTATATAGGGGGATAGGACTCACAGGACTCTTATCTTGCTCTTGACTTAAGCAGTGTCAGCCAGTTGAAACACATCCATGTGCTGAAAAGTCCCCTCTCCTTGAAATCTCGTTTCCTAAACTTCACCCCACTTTTAAGTGTTCAGGACACAGTCACAATTGTCCACCAGCTATTCCACAAGAATCCATGCATCTGCTGACTGCACAATAGGTTGTTGGCCATAAGCATTCCATGGGGATGCTATAATGATGAGCAACCATTATATAGATGAACTCTGATCTTTTATTATGATGGAAATAAAAATGTCATTTCTCTGTGTAATGAATGACAACCTTCTCCCCTGGGTTCCTCACATTTGTCATGGCTAGTTTGAGGCCATAGGAAACAATGTATGGTGGAAGAAGCTCTGTGCTAAGAAACACAAGACCTACATTCTAGTCCTAGCTCTAACATTAATTTACTATATAATTTTGGATAAATCACTACTTCTTTTGGGGCCTTACTTAACATATTTGTAAAATAAAGTTTAGCAGTTTGAAGACAGAGGCCTGGGCCAGATGGTCTCTTACTGTCCCTTCTAGTTCTACAATCTATAAACCAATGGTAAGTATAAAATACTATCTTAGAGCCTTGACTTTGTACATCATGTTCTGCCATAGAGTAGTTCCACCTTTGGCTACCCTGATATTAAATTTACTATTTTGGGATGACAACTTTCAAACCACACCTGAGCCCCCCGCCCAGTGTTTCATGTTATTGCTGGGTGTAGTGGAGATACATGTATCCAAGAGGAAAATTATTTCACTGAAACATGAAGTAACATTAAAAAAAGAAAATAGGTCAAGGAGTCAAACATTTTTTGTACCCATCAATCTATGAATAAATATTAAATGTCTACTATGTGCCAGGCACTGTGCTAAGCACTGGGGATACAAAAACAGGCAAAAGACTGGTGTCCTCAAGGAGCTTACAATCTAATATACAAAGGGATGCAAATCTCCTACACCTCCAATGGCATAAGCATCAAATTCAATCCCTCTTAACTCTCTAGTAGAATAGGATGACACTATTGCTTCGTACTTACAGGCAATGGAGTGGATGCTGAAAAATAGCTGACAGTTTGTCTGGGATATGTACATATGCATGTGTGTGTGTGTGTGTACATGTATGTATAAAGAAAAAGAAAAGTACACATATATATTGTGTATCTGTTGATCGATCTATCTATCTATCTCTCTATCTCTATCTCTCTATCTCTCTATCTCTCTATCTCTCTCTCTATCTATCTATCTATCTATCTATCTATCTATCTATCTAGGTCCAGATGGGATTCAAGGGTTCATGACACCATGGCTGCCATATTCATGGTTTCTCCTTATCTATAGCCCTTCCCCATTTTCTGCTCCCATCTTTGCTATGGTACTCATTCGTTTCCAAAAATTCAATGCTCAAATTGACCAAATTGAATCTATCAGATTTGGATATTCCCTCCAATGATGCAAATCACAACCCACCCAAGTTGTGCCATGCTTATCTTCCTTCCCTCTCCCATCCTGAGATTCCCTGCAAGATAGAGAATGTAGCCATCAGCAACTGGCCCTTAGAGCAGAGCCTCCATCACCTTGCAAGCAGCAAGAAACTTCTGAAACAAGACTTAAGAGTAGTGTGGTATTGTGAAGAGAGAATTGGGCTTAGAGTCAGGAAGGCCTTTGGGTTCAGGTCCCACCCCAGACAATAACTCTAATGCTGGCCAATCCATTTAGCCTCCCTAGGTTTCAGTTTTGTTCAACTCTAAAATGAGGATTTGGAATCAATGGCCTCTCAGGTCTCCTCTCCTGGATCTATAAGCCTTGAAAGTCAAGATTATAGCTTCTCTCCATGAGAAATGTTAGGGACTCCTGTTCTATAAAAAACTATTCCTGTCGATTTAGGAGGGGAAAAAAATCTATTCCTGTGTTAGCTTAGAAGACCTACTGAAAAATGATATACAAAAACTCCTATTTCAAAAGGCCTCCAGCCATCGATAGATGGCTAGGAGTTGAGTGGATCCATTACATAGGTCTATTTTAAGCTAGATTGTTTTGAAGTGCTGAATTGCATTTAAAGACATCTCAAAAGAAAAATGACATTTGGATTTAATGGTCAGATTCTACCTCAATAATGCCATAGTGAGCCATTTTTTCAAGCTCCATACACACACACACACAGAGAGAGAGAGAGAGAGAGAGAGAGAGACAGAGAGACAGAGAGACAGAGAGACAGAGAAGAGAGAGAGAGAGAGAGAGAGAGAGACAGAGAGAGGAGAGAGAGAAGAAGAAGAAGAAGAAGAAGAAGAAGAAGAAGAAGAAGAAGAAGAAGAAGAAGAAGAAGAAAGAAGGAGAGAGAGAGAGAGAGAGAGAGAGAGAGAGAGGAGAGATGGATGGGACAGACTCATAGAGCTTGAAAACCTGCTCTACTATTTACTATTGAAATAAATTAAAGGAGGCATATGATTGAATTTCCCCTCAAGGGGATATGTGAGTTTTTGCATCTTTTAAATTAAATTTTGTGCTTTAGAATTTAAACCATGCACTCATTAGTGCTATCTTTAATGATGTGTGATACAGCTTCAGCTCTCTCTCTCTCTCTCTTTCCCCCCAAGAGCCAGAGGTGACAAAGGTAATAAAATCTGAATGCAGGTGTTTTAATCAATTCTTTAATATCATCTAATTTTCCCTCCAACTTCACTGTCATGATCACCAAGTTCACTGCAAATCTGCAACTTCTTTGTTTAAGCAGTTATGTGTTTCAATTCTTTTTCTTAATCTCCATCTTTCATGTTTCTTCCTAGCCTATAATTTCTGGAGTGTTGGCTGTCAGAGAGGAAGGCAAAGTAGGTGATTTTCCTGCATTACAAACTATCATTATTAACACAAGCTGAACTAGTAATGGCCCCATTATGGCCACTAAAAACATTTCCATTATCTGATATCTGATAAGACAAAATTACCTGTGCATCCATAATGCTGTGGGAACTGACAGGGCATGTTTACACAATTTCCAGCGCCATCTCTTGGTGAACTTCATGGTATAGTTGAAGGAGTCCTGGGTATCAAATCTGAAGACTTGGATTTGAGTCTTAGCTTTACTATTAACCAGTTATGTTTCTTTGGGTAATTCATCTCCTCTTTCAATGTCTTAATTTCCTCATCTGACATAACTATGTTGGACTACATTCATTTATTTATTCATTCCTTCATCCTGTTAAGTATTTATTATATGCCAAGTACTATGCTAGGTGCAAGGGATGCAAAGGCAAAAAAGAAGTGATCTCTACCCTCAAGGATCCTACATTCTACAAGTGAAAAAACAAGTACACACACACACAAATAATTAAAAGGAAAATATGTACAACATACTAGGTACCATGGCCAGCAACAGTAGTGGTAGAGAGGAGTCTGGAAAGGCTTTGCATAGAACATGGCTCTTGAGCTGAGTCCTAAAGGAAGCTGGGGATTCTAAGATGCAGAGGTGAAGAGAAGATGATCCTAGTTATGGGGAATGGTTTGTACAAAGGCACAGGGATAGAAGATGGAGTGCTGTGTATGGGCAAGAGGCCAGTTTGGCATTAACAGAGTATGCAAGGTAGAGTAATGAGCAACAGGACTGGAAAGATAGACTGGAGATAAATCATAAAGGACCAACCCTGTGCTTAGAATTATCTTCCTCTTCACCTCTGTCACTTAACTTCCCTGGTTTCCTTCAGGTTGCAGATAAAATCCTATCTTCTGCAAGAAACCTTTCTGTTATCCCCCTTAAAGCTATCTCCTTTCCTCTAAGATTATCTCCAATTTATCTTTGTATACAGTTATCTCTTCCACATCACAATGGGTTAGGGGCACAGTGTCACTGTGATCTGGAAAATCCTCATAAAATTTTTTGGCCCTCTCTTCCTACCAGAGAAGAGGTCTGAATTTTTTCTTTTTCTTTTCTGGTTATTTATAGTACCTTATTGTTAAATTTGGGTTATGTATTTCATAGGCTCTGCATCATCTGCTGGCCTTTGCATGTTGTCTGAGGCTTCCTCAAAATTCCCCCCAAATTCCAATTTAATTTCTTATAATGGCACAAGATATATTGAAACCACCATGGGGAAAGCTGTGGTTTAGAAGGGATAACTGTATATCATATTTGTGCATATTTGTTGTAGGCTGTCTCTTCTATTAGACTATAAACTCTTTGAGGACTGGGAATGGTGTTGCGGTTTTTTAACCTTTTTTTTTTAATCCCAGTACTTAGTACAGTGCCTGGCACATGGTAGGCATTTAACAAATGGTTGTTGACTTCTTGGCTTGACTTTAAATGCAAAACAGAAGAGTTTAATGTCCTATCTAGCTTTAAATTTTTGTGACACAATCTTTGCATTGCTTTATTGTCTTTGAATTTATTTCTTTGTATTCAATAGTATTGATTTATTAATTGTAGTGGGATGGAGGAAACTCAGGGTTGAGTCTCTTGGGGCTGAAACCTACACAAAGTTTGTTCTCTGTGGATATTAAAGTGTTCCTTTGGAGGCAGTATGGTATTTTAAGAAGGACATTGGACTGGAAGTCAGGAGACCTCAGACACTAATTTGCTTTATGATTAGGCAAGTCATTTGATAGTGTCAAGAGCGTGGTCAAACAAGCACTAAATCCTGGGAGTAACTTTTGTCAATACACATTGTGGTTCCCTTCCTTCTGCTTTGACTTGAAGACTGTCTTGCCTGAGGCTCTTTGACAATATTCCTGGTTGGATCTCTTCTCTGCCTTTCCCTATCCTTCTACGAAAATTTCCGTGTAGGCCCCATTATGAGAGATAAGAAGGCTGCTCTGGTTTGGTAGTGTCTGCTGATGCTGTAGTTTGGAGATTACTGTCCTGGTATCATCCCCTTTTCCTTGTAACCCCTTTCACTCCCTCAAGTACTCCCTTGGGTGTTTCCAGTTAATCCACCAGGCCTTCCCTAAATATATGAATCAATTTGCCTTCATCACTGACTGTCTCATCTAGTTCTTCTTTGCTTCCCTCCCCTCCCCCCAGTTAAGTCCTGGCAGTGGATTGCAACAGAGATCTAGGCTAAAGTTCTCATTTCATAAATGAAGAAACTGAGACCTAGAAAAGGTAAGTGATTTGTTGAGATCAATGTAGCTGATGGTGGTACCAGGACTGGAGCTTCTCAGTAGTCCAGTGTCCTTTCCGTTATACCACATGACCCCTTGGCCATTCTGAGAGTATGCCTTCCCCAAATAGATTTTATTAGTACAAAAGTGCTTTTGTTCAAGGTAACAGCATAAAATATCCATGACATCTACATTTCATTTGATATATTGGATTAGATTATCTGTCGATTCTTGGGTGAATCAACACAAGATAAGACAGGAGATTTATAGAGTTGTAGAGAATTTAAATTGAAAGAGACCTTAGAATCTATGTAATTTCATCCCTTCATTTCGCAGATAGAGAAACTAAGGCAGATGTAGGTCAAATGAATTGCCCAGTT